CCCGCGCAGCCCGGTGAAGCGGAGCCGTTCAGCCCCGCCCCACCCCCGGTCCCCGGGTAGGGAAGAGCCGGCCTCGGTGCCGCCAAGGGCTCGGGCCTGCGGCAGTGTCACTTCTCCAGCGCTCTTCAGAAAGGACAGGGGAGCCCTCGGGCCTTTGACACAGGCCCAGGCTGCCCGCCGGGAGAAAAGCCCCTGCTAATCACCAGAGCAGCCCGCCACAAGCCCGTGCGTGCTCATGAAGGAAAGAAAAAAAAAAACAACATGGAAAGACGGCTGTACGGGCTGCTGGAATGCAGAGCTGCCACGTCCCTTGCCTCGGTGATCGGTGATCAGGGACTCGCCCTGCTGGGGCACGGCCACAGAAACACAAGAAACCTGCTCAAACCAAAATTCAAGTGGGCTGATTTGCTAGGCTGTTGTTGCTTGACTGAAGTCTTACCGTAGACCACAAAACGTGGTGAATTTGTTACTGAAGGGCTCTTTTTCAGAACAGACAGGCCCCAACTAGCCCAGCGCTTTGTCTTGGGCAGTGGCAGCAGCTGCTATGAAGGAGGACAGGGAAGTTTAGCCACCCTTTACAGGCTGCTCCTCTCCTCCCACCCAGAATTGCTGTGTCGAGGTGCTAAGAGAGCACCTCCCTTTTCGTCAACCTGCTGCCCAAGAATTTGCCTCACCCCTTTTAGAACATCCTACCTGCCTCCACAACATCCCGTGACAACCAGCTCCAAAGTTCACGCTCTGCTGCACGCAAAGATACGTAGGTGAGATCTGCTGAGCGACCGCGCTGTGCTCGCCTCGCCCGTCACCTTCTCTGGAGGCTCTCCGAGCTGCTTGGGTCAGCCCTCCGGCAGCCTTTCCCCCCCTCCCAGCCACAGTCACAGCCTTCTCAGGCTCTCCTCAAGCATTTCCTCATTAAGCATTTCCTCCATTGCTTTTGTAGCCTTTCTCTGCATGTTCTGCCACATCCTCCTTGCGAGGCAGGGGCTAACGCACAGCCACCACAAAGCCAAGCATCATTGCTTCAAGACCTTTCTGCTCTAGCGTGCTTTCTGCTGCAGAGCCACCGCGAGGGCAGCCTCCCTCCCACCCGTGCCAAGCATGCATGCAGTCGTAGGGTCAACCCCATTTCGAAGCACAGCAAGTCCTGTAGCTGAATTACTTCTCTATTCATCATGCTGAAGCTACGGGATAATTTCAAAGACGCATATTACAGGAATACGCAACAGCGCTGCTTCCCGCAGAGGACAGCGTCACAACTGAAGAGGCCACTTTCACACCCAGCTCCCTGAACACCCTCATTTCCCTCCACGAGCACCCAAAAGCCGTCAGCCGAGCAGCCCCACTCGCGGCGCCAGCGGGACCCCTGAGTGCGGGGAGCGCAGATCTGTCACCCAGCCTCACGCGATGCGAACGCTGACAGGCGGTGGACTGACGTCACTGTTGCCGTCACACGTCAGGACAACAAAGAAAGGCTTTGCAGCAGCGGGAAGCCAGCGGACACGGTGCGCACAAAGCAGCGCAGCAGCCACTGCAGCCCGACAGTAACACGATCGCTTGTCAACAGGTCTTTCTTCCCCCTCTCCGAAATCAAACGTTCAGTAACATCAGGATGATCTTCTCACGTGGAGGAACTGACACTCCGCTGCGCAGGCAGCAGCCTCAGACCGCCTCTTGGGAAGGGACAGCAGCAGTTCCGAGACTCTTCTGCCATTTTAGTGTTCTTGCACAGCAAGCCGAGCTGCCGTTTAGAGCTGAACACAACTTACCACCAGGAGGAAACTAAAACCAACTGCCCAAAACAAACCTGACAGGAGCGCAGCGAAGCAAACAAAGGATTTCTAACAGGCTGTTTAATCTTTGTTCCATCCCCTATTTTCAGCAGATTTGCTGAATGCTTTTTTGTTTCAGAGAAAAATCCTCTCCAGAACGTCTGTGTGCAAGTGGCTCTGTTGCTGTGCGGCAGAGCTCGCACAAAGACAGCTCCACGCAACAGGGTCACACGCATTACACGAGAGGGAGAGGAGATGCACAGCACCAGCTCCTCGGGAAAGCAGAGGTGCTCAGGACTGTCTCCTCATCGGCTGGATTCTCTGCTTTGACCATCAGCAGGGCATTAACCACCACAGTCGTGTTCCAACCGTCTCCTTAAGAACGCATTGACGGTCACAGTGTTCCCTCTACGAAGGTTTTAACCACCTACTCGTGGGAACAGAGGTCCTGCAGACAAGTCCCCCCATTTGTCCCTTTTTACTTACCAGCTACAGCCTCACTGTTCAGCTGGAATGAGCTCCTGACCCCGCCAGAAGGAAAACACACTTTGCGACGGAAATGTTTTGTTTTCTGATTTGCACGCGAAGCTCTTGTTTCACGGAGGGACTCACAGCAGCGCACGCGCGTGCTTACAGCGGGCAAGAGCACCGGCCTGCAACCGAAGAGAAGATCATTTTAGTCTATTCATCAGCACTTGTAAATATACACACACACACACGTGGCTTTTTTGAACTGTGCTGTGAACGGATGCTTACCAGGAAGGTGC